TTCCAACAGCAGTCATCAAGGAAATCTTCATGGAACCAAGATCATATATTGATCTTCATGACACAGACTTGGGTATTACGTACCAATGTGTTTTCAAATCCAGGGAGAACATCACCGAGAAGTTTCTGTCAAGGGGCTGGTTTAAATTTGCAAAGGACAAAGAGCTGTCGAAAGGTGACGTTCTCTTATTCAGTGTAGAGCATCCTCCTGTGGAACGTATATTGGTCAAAGTTGAGAGAGGGCAGCATTGAAAGGAGTTGTTGATTGGATTACATGGGAAGCATCATGGCAAAAAGGAGGGATTATTTTTGTATGGGCGGAAATGCATAACTATTTGTTTTGAAAATCTATTTGATGCCCATTTGTCTTTGTTATTAGTTTTGTTATTTGATATTGTTGGGCTACGGCTCAATGTACAATCTGCTTATTATTTGTTAAATGGGATGATACGAAATTAGTTCCATATCTTGCGTTGATGAGATAATTGCATATCGTTTCCGGTATTATCCGGTAACAATTTATATTAATCAAGTGTCATGGATTTCTGCTATGCATAATCTGTTATTCATGTATTAGTTTTTTAGATTAATGTACAGTATGCTGATATACTACCGTGTATTATGCATAAAGTATGCAAAACAATATGGATTGTCCAGCATCAAGACATAAAGAGAAACATTTTTTTCCTTTCAAAGACACTAAGTTAACAACTCAACAGATTAGATGACAGTGTAATTTAAAGCGCCACTAAATACAACATTAAAGTTATATCAAAGTTCAATTCATAACAAATATACATCCGTCATCAAAAAGAATTTTGAAATGGCAAATTGTGGGATTATATTTTAATGGTTTAGAATTACGGAGAAAAAATATGTAACAATTGTGTAAGGTAAAACAAATCATTAGGTGTGATAATGTTTTTCAAAGTTTTCCAAACATGTAAATGAAAAAAGAAAAGGATGTGGTGATAAGGTAACTCCAAATACTCCGTCATTAGGTGAGATAATGTTTTTCAAAGGTTTCCAAATATGTAAATGAAAAAAGAAAAGGATGTTGTGTGGGGTAACCAAAAACACTTCGTTGCATACACAGTTGGCCACTGATTTTCCAAAAGAAAACAAAATAAATTTATTATATTAAACAAAATAAGGAATTACCAACATCATATTGCTTTTTGCAGTGTAAATTATACATAATTTTTTGCAGCTTAAATGACTAAAATCATATCATTCTTTCATATACAATGTCAAAAGGATCAAACAAAAAGCAAGAATGACAAATCAAATCCTCATAAACCAGAATAAACAAAATGTAAACCAGAAATATTTCATTACATCAATCAAAATAAGGTGTGCAATGTTGTCCAAAACAGCTTAAAGTAAAAATAAATCGTCGACGATAATTGACTGCATCATTTCTCCAGCTTGATGTCCCTTATTATCTTGGTGGATGATAGTTGGGCACTGTCGAGTTCTTCAACTGTCTCAGAAATAGATCTTTTTGACGGTGTAAGTGCAGAGTTGGCAACTGAAGGGTCATAATCTGCAGTGATTGATAACGGATCCTGCCATTAAAGAGTCATTACAAAATCAGTAGCATAAAAAAGGAAGTAAGACATTGTTTAATAGGCTAATTTGTTAATGTTGAAAGCTAAAAAAAGACGCACTGAAACTGTTTGTGGATCATCATGAGACTGTTTTTCCGAGGTGGTGATGGTCGGAGTACACTGCAAGTTAAAAAACACAAGAAATAAACGTTAGACAATTGTTCAAAATGTGATGGCAAGAGTAATAGGTCGTTCCTATTTAAAACATACCGATGCTGTATGCATATCATCCCGAGTGTCATCTGTTGAGACGACAATCTTTGAAGTGTGCTGCAAGTTTTAAACAATTGTTAAAAAAATCCAATGCACATGATACTGATTTTAACAACAGTAAAACATGAGTACAGCAGTACCTCTTCACATTTAAACCTCTCCTTTATTTTGGTACGTAGCACTTCATCTGCCTTAAATCCGATTACAGAAAGACTGGCCTTGTTTGGTTGAAACACTGCTCTTATAGCCAACTCCTTCTTCAGCATCACATCAAGTTCATAAGGGAATTCAAGGGGATCAAAATCTCCAGTCTAAATGATTAAAACAATATATGTTATTTATGTGATAATTATCTAACTTACATATTAGCCAAATGGAAAATACCTCCATCAAATCCAACTTCATCTGAAGGGCGAACTTCCCAATCAACTTTACACAATCTACATCCCAAAATACGAACTTGTATTTTAACTTTCCATCGGAGGCAAGCACTTCAAGCTTAAATTTGTACCATGCGTGATCAAAATAAGAAATTGTCAGTAATGAAGCGTTTGGTTATATGATGATAATCATTGATATGCAATACTTAGAAGTTACCTTGGGACTGGCTCAGAACTGATGTGTTTGGAATAACACATGAATTTTCCATCCTTCAAAGTCACACTTTTGGTACATTCACTACATCCATCATAATACCATCCTGACTGCCCACATTCAAACTTCTCCAGAGTCGCAACAGTCACACATGTAGTTTCCTGAAACAAAAAGATGGGATGATGTCTCAAAAAATGGATTAGAACCCAGTATGTGTAATTCCTCAATCTAAGACAGTTATGTATTAAAGAGCAACTTACAGTCTGCAGATATGCAATATCAGACAGACTCAACACTTCAGCTTTCCATATAAATTTGTCCAAATCAGAAAAAACAGAGGTATTTATGGTTTCCATTTGCATGCTCGAGGATGAGAGCGTCGGCAGATCATCTTTAAGTCTGATGTACATAGATCAGAATGAAAACAGACTGTTAGTAATCATAAGTTGCTAATTCATAACTTCATAATAAAATCACTTACTTCTCTTTAAGGTTTTTAACCTCCTCAATAGACAAATCATTGATGAACAGTTTTGTGCCGTTCCAAGCATTTGATACATTTAAAGGATAATTTCCTGAAAATTGAGATATTTATAAATGACAACACTTAAAGTTGGATATAATAATTGGATATAATAAGAAATAGTCACATAGCATACCTTGAGGTTCCTTGATCCTTGCATTCATAAGTAGGAGAACAATACTACCATCAGCCTTATGAGTCGTATAATACTCATTCAGTTGCACATCTAATTTACCCCAAAGAGTACATTGCACATGATGTTTGCTGATTGACAGGAATTACAAAACAAACAACATGAACATGTTAGACTTTTATATTTATCAGCATCAATGTTAACAAACAAAATGAAACACCTACCTCAGACCAGTTAATGAAAACACAACCTTGCTTTTGTTGTTATCAGGAATTATCTGGGCTTGGGATATTTCAGTAACCCCACCAATTATATCTGCACAAAAGTTCACCACAGACAGTTATGTATAACGGAGAAGTCACAATACAATGCGTTCTATTATAACAGTAAAAATGTAACTCACCATATAACAAATTCGTTATGTATTTACCCTCAATAATAGCATTTATTCCAATTAACTTGAGGTGGTTCAGAGGTATGTCAGCAAGTTGGACCTTTTTGACGGAAGTTGAACCACAGAAAATCAATTTGAACTTATGATCAGTGGATTTGAAGGAGAAATCATTGCTGGAAACTTTGAAATTCTGCATTATGTAGGAACAACCAAGTTCAAGTTGTGTTTTGAATTTTGATACCAAATAAGATGGCACAATGGCTTGAATCAAATCCAACTGTGAAAATACAAACATCTTGAAATCAATATCATATATCAGTACTGTTACAACAAAATCAGAATGGCAAAGCAGAAACGTTTAGATTGTATTATACCTTTGAATCAAACAGAATAAGCTCTAAGTGCTCTCTATTCTGAGAACTGGTAACAGACCACAAATGCTTACATCTAACATCAACCTTCCACAAATCCTTCGAATCGTCAATGCTACTGATATACTCGATTGGGAGCGCCATCGTCACGCAGCGATTCGTAACAGCGCAGAGAGTCTTGCGTGAATGAAAACGAAAGGGACGTCTGTAGCAATGGCTTGCGTGAATGAAAACGACTAGAAGGTGTTAAGCAATGGAGGTTATACATAAGTACACATTGGGGAAGGATTGAAGGAAGAGTGAAAAACTTTTGGTGTTCCATTTGAATTTGAATTCTGATTAAGAGAGGCATAATGGTTTGGCATGGGGAAGAGGAAGAGAGACACAATGAATGACAAGGAATAATGAATTGGTATTCCCCATGGTTGGGTTTCTCACGCTGCCTGCACAATAAATTGAATTGGTTCTTTATTTTAAAAAACAGTATAATATGTGGGATTTATTTGAAAAAAAAAATTGAAAATGTGGTGAAAAATTGTGGGAGTGCCACATCAGATTCAAATCAATGTGGTGCAAGATATTTTGGAGTTTCCAATTTTACCCCAATACAATAGACCAACAATAGATTTTTTCAGCTGTGGTGTTGTGGTAATTTCCAGGGACTATCATTTTTATAGATTTATAATAGACTTACAATATTAACATTCAAATAAGTTAACAATTAAATTAATGAAGAAAGGTGAGTTGTATTATGAAAAGAAATTGTCCCTCTAACTTTACACATGGTGACTTAACTATGATGGATTGCAACTTTGTCTATTTCGCCGAAATACGTATTTTCACTTGTATCCGTGCCTAGACACACTTATTTACTTGTTTTCAATAAAGAAATTCACTTGACAGAAAAAAATAAATTCCGGTCTTCATTTCTTCTTTTCAACTCAAAAGAAAATCAAAGCGTCGCCCTTTTTTATCTATTACTGTCCTAGCTCTGCATCGGAGTTCATCGTGTGCTTCGCGATCTCACAATCCTCTTCTCTTTCAATTCCGGTGCAGAATTCGTTGTTGTTCGTAGCGTTCTTCAAGATCTGAATTCTGCTTAATCTGTTTGTGATTCCGGCGATGCACTGAAGTTGTAGGTTGAGTTTGATTTACGCGATTCGATGGAGTGGAGTACGTTGCAGCATCTAGATCTACGCCATATAGGGCGCGGGGTTAGGCCTTTGCAGCCTCACGCTGCTTCCTTTCATCCTCATCAAGCTCTTGTTGCTGTCGCCATTGGAACCTACATCGTCGGTAAGCGAACAACTTCACTCTCTTTCCCCCTCTATTGTTTTTTGGAATTAGCTAGTTATTAAGTTCACTGCGTTATTCTATTTGCGCTAATTTGAAGTCCGTTTCTGATTATTGACACAAAAATCAAATAAAAGAATTGAAAGGATCATTCTTCTTATTGATTTGATCATTGACATCTGAGCCATTGATAACATACACACTAATCATCTAGTAATGAACTTCGAAGCAGACACTGGCACTGAGATGCACTAATTTTTGTGTGTAAAGCTTCAAGATGTATAGTATCTCAGTATTATATGTGCCAACAATTTTGTATGCCCCTTGTAGAAGCACAGACATCATAATTCCTTATGGCCTTTTCCTATTTTTTTGAACAAAATTGTCCTAGTTGTAGAATTAATTATGTAGAAGTACATGTACAGCAAAAAAAGTTAACTGTAGTATAAAAAGGTGGTTAACTGCTTTATATAGGGTTTAGGATGTTTGTGTTGGATGTGTAGTAAGACTAGACATGATAAGATTATAAATGACAATATTAGAGAGTGTTGGGGGAAACACCTATAGCAGATCTGTAGATTTTGTGTTAAGGAAAGTAGATTAGATGAAGTGGAGTCAAATAACTAGAGCTTGAGGAAGACCTATAAAAACTATAAGAGAAGTTATTAAGAAATATCTCGAGATTAACGATTTGGATAGAAATATTGTCCTAGATAGAACATTATGGCGGAAGTAGATCAATGTAGTAGACCCTACTTAGTAGGATTTTGTAGTATGAAAAAGACCCTGCCTTATTTTTTTATTATTAAAATTTGAATGGGCTTGTCTCTACTTATTTTTTTCAATTTTAAATCTCCTCGTCTGTGATGCACTTAACAGTGTTAGACCTATAAGAAACTTAAAGTTAGATATGTATTTACTGGATATGTTTTGCCAGCGATTCATTCAAGGGGAGTGTCAAATATGGGTTTCAGATATAGACTTGGCACCAAAGTAGTGTACTTTATAGAATGTGAGTATCTTTGGTATTCAATCCTTCAAAATAATCGAGATCAGCAATAAGATCCAAGCAAGATGGATGGAATGGAGGAATATTTGTGATGTAATATGTGAAAATGTGATATAAGAGTACTGCTCAAACCTAAAGGATTATCTTACTGCACACGACAATATAATTTGCCTTTATGGGACTTTATGCTGAGCTGTGTAAAGCTATCTAGAAAGTAAGTTTAGTATTACAGAAATGGGAATATTGTAGTCAAACAAGACAAGATCCGATTAAAAATAAACATCAAAGAGAAAGTTGGGCGAATACCCATTGTAGAAAATAAGGTAAGGTCTCGTGTTAGGTGATTTGGGCATGTTTTGAAGAGACCGGTAACAGCACTGGTACGGAGGTTAGATTAGATGAAGGATAATCCAATAGTTAGAGTTGGAGAAAGACCGAGGAAAGTTGTAAGCCAAACCATTGAGAGAGTTCTGGATAAAAATAGACCAATCATTGGGCATGATCACACAATTCATGATATGTCATGATGGTGTTGTTAATTCATGTAACCAACATCATCTATTGAGAAAAAGCTTTGGTTGTTGTTGTAACAGTAGTGAGTTTGTCAACTACTGAAAGCATATATTGGTTTAGTTATCTGTTTTTTTTTTTTTTTGTGAATTTGGTAAGGACTCTTATATGGAACTATAGCAGTATTATATAAATAAATTAGTTTCACACATTTTAAAATCTCGTGAGTTTCTATGTCAAGTGGACTTATCATTGTTGCATGATGCATTTCCTTGTCTGTTGGCATGGTTTGGGCACAATTATTTTACTTGTTGGTTTGTTTCCATGCATGCAGAATTTGATGCATTAACTGGAAGCAAGATTTCCGCTCTTGACATTGGTGCGCCTGCTGTTCGAATGTCTTACAGTCCAACAAGTGGACACACTGTGATTGCAATCCTCCAGGTTTGGCCTGCCTGAACTTTTCATCATATAATCTTTTTACTGTATATTAAATCCTAAATGGAAAAGTAATAACTATAAAAGAACTCGGTGTTGCAAAAGATTGTTATTTAATCGGAAATATTATGAAGTGTTTGTAGTTTAGTTGCTCTCTTGATGCCTGTAAATGATGTCCCGAAATGTAATATGTACTTTTGGCCGGAGTCAATAATATGCAAATAAAATCCTGAAGGATGTATCTTGCAAGATGGTGGATAACATTGTGGTTTGCTGACGTGTTTTTTTATTTTTTATTATTAAGAACTGAAAAAGAAACCATATTACATTAGAAAGTTATGTTAAAAATAATGCACGTAACTTTTATTTTATTCTGAGATGCACTGGGACTGATATTGTTGTTCAGTAGAACCTCTGGGTCACTTCAGCTTATTTATTTGTTTAATTTGGTTACCCATTTAGTTTAATTTGTGAATTTCATTGGTTAATATTTATTCTTTCTGGTACTCAGGGAATAAAACAATACAGTTTTTTTTTTTGTTTTGAATTAATGCCCCTTAATATGTCGTATTAGTTTGTAACTTTGTATATTGATTGGAGTTCTTTTAAACTAACTGCACCTGTTGCTTTTACACTTGTAGGATTGTACAATAAGATCTTGTGATTTTGACTTGGAGCAAACTTGTGTACTGCATTCACCTGAGAAAAAGACTGAGCAAATTTCTTCTGATGCAGAAGTTCATATGGCTTTAACTCCACTCCAACCTGTTGTGTTTTTTGGGTTCCCTAAGAGAATGAGTGTGACAGGTTGGTTCTTGTTTATCAAATCATGTCTGTAGATTAATGCATTTGTTGTGGTTTGAATACTGATGGTGATGTTTTATTGTTCAATATCTGTTTTTCTGTAAATGAAGTTGTTGGAACTGTTGAAGGCGGTCGGACACCTACGAAAATCAAGCCAGACTTGAAGAAGGCTATTGTAAATCTTGCTTGTCATCCTCGCCTCCCTGTACTGGTAATGTGTGCAGTATACTTATCATGATTTCGCTTTGCAGGAAGTTCATGGGATGAGTATTTTTGCAGTAATACATGTCTAGTATCGAGTGTCTTATGATAATGATATATATTAATACTTCAACCCTTGACTTGATTATTTTCCCATCACAGTATGTTGCTTATGCAGAAGGTTTGATTCGGGCATATAACATTCATACCTATGCTGTTCATTACACACTTCAACGTAAGATGTTTCCCACGCATTCTTTTCTTGTTGTTCATATGGTTTATATTTCTAATTTTATTGTCAATCCTATTTGCAGTATTATTTATATTTTGTTTTCTATTTAGTTGACAATACAATTAAGCTTATTGGGGCTGGTGCATTTGCATTTCATCCAACTCTGGAGTGGATTTTTGTTGGGGACCGGAAGGGTACACTTCTGGCATGGGATGTATCAACAGAGAGACCAAGTATGATTGGAATGTGAGTGTAGTTACTTGTGATCTAGTTTTCCTTATTCCATAGCCAAGACTTGGTGTTTTTTTAATTATTTATGGTGCACTCTTTTTTACAAATTTAGGGTTCAGAATGTTATTTTACTTTTAGTTAAGATTAGATCTGACATTTTCTTATTAAAATTTCAGAAAACAAGTTGGCTCACAACCAATTAAATCAGTTTCCTTTCTCCCCATGTTGCGTTTACTTGTGACTCTATCTAAGGATGGAAATCTACACGTTTGGGAAACACGTGTTACGGTTAATCCTAATAGACCTGCTACGCAGGCTAACTTTTTTGAGCCTGCAGGTTAGATATCTTGACCCCTTTTATCCTTTACCTTGAATACCTGATTACTACCAGTTGGTATTTTTAGCTTGGTCATGTTAGGTAATAAGTATATTGTAGATGATTTCTGCTGCTACATTTTCCCCAGCCCCACACTTCTAGAATCTTTTTGTCTTACTTCATTCATTTAGTATTCTTTTCTATTAAAAGTATTTGGCTAATATGTATACATTCTGATGCAGCAATTGAATCAATTGATATCCCTCGCATCCTTTCTCAACAGGGTGGAGAAGCAGTTTATCCATTGCCACGAATTAAAGCTTTAGAATTTCATCCAAAATTGAATTTAGCTGCACTAGTGTTTGCAGTTACGTGCTACCTCACATTATTTATGTCTTACCTTTTAGTGGATAATATGGAATATAAATAAACTTGATCTTTCTTTTGACAGAATGTGACAAGTGCAGACACTTCAAAAAATAAGGCCTCATACAGTAAAGAAGGGAGAAAGCAACTTTTTACAGTTTTACAAAGTGCACGGGGATCTTCAGGTGACTGTTCATTTTATCTATGAACAAAATTAAAAGAGTCCTTATAGTATGCATGCTAACAACTTATCTTGCAGAAAGAATCTCTCAAAATTCGCTCTGGTATCTGCCAAAACACTTCTCGGGGTTCTAAAATAAGATAATCCAAACATGCACTAAGTATTTCATGATATTTTCTATCTGAATAAGGGCCCTTTGGTTTGAGAAAATATTTTCTGTTTTAATTTTTAATCATTTTTAATTGTAACTATTGAATTAGGAGAGACTAAGAGACATTTAAGTTAAACCGTGTATTTCGAAAGCACTACGGAGACTTTATTATATATAGAGAGATTACAACTAATTACACGATATAATCGATGTGGGATTATTCTACATACAAATATTCTTAACATTATATATTTACAAATATCAACACTTCCCCTCAAGCTGGAGCATATAAGTCAAATGCACCAAACTTGCCACATATATAATTAGTTCTGGGACTTCGCAGAGATTTTGTAAGCACATCTGCCAATTGATCATTAGAGTTGACAAAGCTTGTGATGATGTCGCCTGATTCAATCTTCTCTCTGACAAAGTGACAGTCTATCTCAATATGTTTGGTCCTCTCATGGAAGACTGGATTTAAAGCAATGTGCAGTGCAACTTGATTATCACATTCAAGTGTTATTGGTCTTGCTTCTTCAATTTTAAGTTCTTTGAGCAACTGTTTTAACCAAATGAGTTCACATGTTGCCATTGCCATGACCCTATGCTCTGCCTCGACGCTTGATCTTGCAACTATATTTTGTTTCTTACTTTTCCAGGATATAAGGTTTCCTCCAACAAGTACACAATACCCTGAGGTGGATCGTCTATCAATTGGTGACCCTGCCCAATCAGCATCAGAGTATCCAACTATCTGAGTATGTTCTTTATCTTCATACACTAAACCTTTTCCTGGAGCACATTTGATGTATTTTAGAATCCGGATAACAGCATCCATGTGTTCCTGACAAGGGGAATTTAAGAACTGGCTTACCACACTGATTGCAGAAGAAATGTCTGGACGAGTGACTATGAGATAATTCAACTTTCCAACCAATCTCCTATACCTTCCCGAGTCTGATAGAGGCTCCCGCTGATTGGGTAGTAGTTTGACACTTGGATCCATAGGAGTATCAACTGGTTTAGCGTTCAACAAACCTGTTTCTTCCAAAATATCCATAGCATATTTCCGTTGAGTAATCACCAAACTATCTTTAGATTGGGCTATCTCAATACCCAAGAAATATCGGAGTTTACCAAGATCGTTTGTCTGAAATTGATTTGAAAGATGTTGTTTCAACTGGAGTATTCCTGACTCATCACTACCAGTTATGACAATATCATCTACATACACAATAAGATAAATACACCCTTTGACTGAGTGACGATAAAAGACAGAATGGTCAGCTTCACTACGGACTATACCAAATTATTGTACTACAGTGTGAATCTGCCAAGCCTAGCTTTCGGAGATTGCTTAAGACCATAAAGAGACCTGTGTAGCCTACAAACCATATTCGATGACTCCCCCTGAGCAACAAACCGAGGTGGTTGCTCCATATATACTTCCTCTTCAAGATCACCATGTAAAAATGTATTTTTGATGTCAAGTTGATGAAGAGGCCAATGTCGAATGGCTGCAATGGCTAGAAGAAGTCTAACAGATGCCATCTTGATTACAGGCGAGAAGGTATCACTATAATCCAACCCAAAAATCTGAGTGTATCCTTTGACTACCAAGCGAGCTTTAAAACGATCAATCTTCATCTGGACCAACCTTCACTGTATAAAGCCAACGACAACCTACTAAAGATTTTCCAGTGGGTAGAGGAACCAGTTCCCAGGTACCACTGCTTTGAAGAGCACACATTTCATTAATCATTGCTTGCCTCCACTCAGGGTGAAATAATGCTTCACCTGGAGATTTAGGAATAGAAACAGAAGACAAAAAGGACAAACAAGTATACTGCAAAGGGGAAAGACGATGATAACATAAATCAATATAATGTGGAGACGGATTTCGTGTTTGACGTATACCTTTGCGAAGGGCAATTGGAAGATCAGACTCAGATTGCAGGATTGAATCCGGTGATGGCGATAGCGTCGGAGGAGAGTCTGCAATGACCTCAGGGACAAGTACGACCTCAGGAACATGTACAACCTCAGGGACAAGTATGACAGATGGTTTACGGCGCTGATATGTTTGAAGTGGGCGAGAAGTGAGGGGTCAACTGTAGGGGTTTCTCGTGGGACATGTTCCCTAGAATGATGGGGAATAATGGGAAATAGGACTTCCAGAAGAGGTGTGGGAGTACTTTCCTGAAGGGGTTCCAGAGTGACTTAGGTGGACGCAAAATATGGCACAGACTCGAAGAAGGTAACATCGGCCGATATCAGGTATCGTTGTAGAGTGTGTGAGTAGCAACAATAACCGTTTTGGGATCGATGATAACCAAGAAAGACACACTTTAGTGATCGAGCTGATAGTTTATCAAGACCAGGGGAGAGATTATGCACAAAACATGTAGACCCGAAGACTCGAGGAGGAATTGGGTGAAAAGGAGAGTTTGGAAACAAGATTGAATGAGGGATTTTATTATTAAGGACAAATGATGGCATGCGATTTATGAGATAACATGCCGTGAGCACAACATCGCCCCAAAATTTGAGAGAGACATTACCATGGAGAAGTATAGTCTGAGTGGTTTCTACGAGATGCCGGTTTTTGTGTTCGGCTACCTCGTTTTGTTGAGGTGTATGAGGGCAAGATGTTTGGTGTAGAATACCATTGGATGACATAAAAGTTTGAAATTGTTGGGATAAACATTCACGTGCATTGTCACTTCTTAAGGTACGAATGGACAAACCAAATTGGGTTCTTATTTCTCGATAAAATTGTTAAAAAATAGAAAACAATTCAGATCTGTTTTTCATTAAAAATAGCCACGTGCAACGTGAAAAATCATCAATAAATGTTACAAAATACCTAGACTCAAAAGTAGACACGGTACGCGATGGACCCCAAACATCAGAGTGAACTAAAGCAAAAGGGGACGCTGCCCGTTTATTGACTCGACGAGAAAGTGACTACGAGTATGTTTCCCTAATTGACAAGACTCACACTATAAAGTGGATAATTTAGATAAACTGGGCACCAACTTTTGTAGCTTGGGAAGACTTGGATGACCTAACTGCGCATGTATAATGAGTGGAGAATCTGTGGTGGAGCATGTGGTAGATGACGTAGAGAAGTAGTAGAGGCCTTGAGACTCACATCCGACGCCAATCGTCTGTTCCGAACTTCGATCCTGCAGAATAACATCACTGTTAGTAAAAGTGATAGAACAATGAAGGGAATGAGTTAAACGACTGACTGACAATAGATTAAATGGGCAATTAGGTACATATAGGACAGAAGTAACAAAGAGAGATGGTAGAATTTGAACAGTACCGATCCCTTGGGATCAGGTTTGAGAACCATTTGCGGCAGTTATACTCTGTAAGAAACCAGAGGTAGAAAAGGAAGAGAAAAGATTTTTATTACCGGTAACATGATCAGACGCACCAGAGTCGAGGACCCAAGGACCAAGAGGAGATGATTGAGAGACGCAAACAGATGAATTACCAGTGTGTGCAATCGAAGCCATGGAACCAGAGGTCTGGTTAGTTTGACACCACCTGAGAAAATCCTCGTAGCTTGGCATAGGGTTCTCAAGAGAAGGTGAAGTCTGCATAATGTCTGTGTTATCAATTTGAGTTGCATTTACCTGCCGCAGAGGTTTGCCATGCAACTTTCAACAACGATCGATAGTATGTCCAAGCCGATTACAATGGTCACACTTAGGACGAGGTTTGGAGTTGGATGACCCTCCTCGAAGGCGATTCTGATTGTTGCCAAGATATGCAAGAGCAGCAGTGTCACCTGGTGTTGGAATATCAATAGATGGAGGAGAAACCGAGCCAAACGCATGAGGTGTAGCCAAGCGCAACAATTGTTCACTAACTGTATCATAGTTAGGAACAATAGTACCTGATAAAATCTGGTTACAAACAGATTCGAGTTCTGATGGTAGTCCTTTAAGTGCCATGATCATGAAATATTTACTCTGTTGTTCGGCATGAGCTATTGCATCTTTTGCGTACGGCATGAGAGTTGCGTAACTTGCTTTCAAGACATCAAGCTTACTCAGATAAAGTTACACATCCATATTTTCCAACTTCAGTGTGTTGAGTTTGTGGACGACACTATATAGAGAATGAACGTCGTTGGAAAAGACTTTCTTGGCCTTTTGCCACACCTCATAACAAGTGGAGAATGCTTGGTACTGCGCTTGGAGGTTAGGTGCTATGGAAAACCACAACACAGTACATAAAGAGGCATCAGTTTTCTTCCATTTAGCGAGTTTGACAGCTGCAACGTCACTCAATTGGGTGGTTAGATGCTCTTCATATCGTTGACCGTGAAACCACATCTCGACAGCACGAGCCCATATGTTATGGTTGACTGATCCGGTTAGTTTTTCACATGGGATAAGCGGAACTTTAGCAAACGAGACAAAATCAGCATCTCCCATGGCTTAAAACACAACAACTGGGGCTGTTTGAACAAGAGTACGACTTTCTGTGGGTCGAAAACAGAAATCGAGGGCGGATCTGGAACCGGAGGAGGAAGGCAATTTTCCGGTAATTTTTTTTCGTGAATAGTAGCGGCGCTGATGAACAGTGGCGGCGGCGGTGAACAGTGCAACGGTGGTGAACAGTAACAGCGGCGGTGAACAGTAGTCCCCCGATTTTTTTTTCTCGTAAGCTGTGTTTGGCGGAGGCCGCTGGAAAAAAAAAGGTGAGACAAACCGGAATGATGACACGGTTTGCAGAAGAAAATTTCTCACCGGAAGACAATAGGTCAACCGGGTAAAACACAACGAAGAATTGCCTCTTAGAAGGCTCTAGATACCATATTGAATTAGGAGAGACTAAGAGACATTTAGGTTAAACCGTGTGTTTTGAAAGCACTACGGAGACTTTATTATATATAGAGAGATTACAATTAATTACACGATATAATCGATGTGAGACTATTCTACATACAAATATTCTTAATATTATATATTTACAAATATCAACAGTAACAATGCCACTTGTTTTAGTTTCTTTCTTTTTGTATTGAAAATAGTGAATACAACTATTTTGTAATTTAAAGTGAAGTAAAAATCATGTTGTAAAGTAAAAATAAGATGGCATATTTTGTAACTTAAAGTGAAAACAAAAAATAAAATAGGAAACATTTTCTCAGACTAAACAACCTCTAAAATTACTGTTGATTCTGTCTGTATTTACTTAGGCTGCTATACCCATTCATCAACACAGAAAATTATGTTGTATGATAATTCTTCTGAACTTTATTGCTTGTTTTCACGGGGTAGCTGATTTGTCTCTTTGCTCACAGAAAAACGTGGAAGATAATAGATTTACATTTTTTCCCTATATTTTTTGAGCTATTTTTCATTATGTTTCATCAATGAAGCATTGTGAGATATGTACCGTCAGTTTGTTATCTAGCCAGCTCAGTGATAATTAACTCCGTGTTAGTTATGCTGGCTGTTCCCTTAGGAAGCTTCTATTAGCTTCATGTGCCACATCATCATAACTCCATGTTAGTTATGCTGGCTGTTTCAGTTTAGATGAGGTGTATGTTAAGATAGCTTATATAAATGCTGATCCTCTTGTAACTGAATTAATTCAATCAATATAACAGAATTCTCAATGAGATCCAATCTATTTTCTCTATTCTTTCTACTCTAACAAGCATGGACACGATACTATCTGATGATACGAGTGGTGCTTCCTTCATTGGAAAATATAATATACGATACATTTAAGGTGTACATATATAGAAAAATTTAAAAGTATAATAAATATATTACTGTGAGTTAAGAAAAATTAAATGATAATATATTATATAATTTACTAAAATATTGTTAAAGGAGACCTCTCTCACAAGTTAGCTTTTCAATCATTTTTCAATAAATATATTATCTCAGCACTCACCTTCAAGCTATTGTATATATGTCGCATGCATCCTATTTGTTACACCTCTAAGATATTCTTAGTAGCCCTTTTAGTGACTTTGTGAAGATATCCACCAGCTGATCATTAAATTTCATAAAAGATGTAACGATAATTTGTAAAGTTGTTTCAACCAAATAATATCTCATGTAGTAAGATCCATATATTATTCCTCCACCGAATCTAGCAACATCATTATGTTTTTTTTCTTACAAGAAATAAGAAGAATCCCTGATAAAAGAACAGACTAACCAGAGGTTGACCGTTGTTCATGTGGACATCCAGCTCAATCTGCATCTGTATAGCCACAACATTCAAATGGCCAATATTCTCATGAACTGGCCCTTTTCTCAGAGGCCCCTTGATATGATTAAAATTCTAACCACTGCGTATCAATGACTATCATGTGGAGGATTAATGAATTTGGCCTGCAACATGACATCAAAGGTTATGTTAATTCTATCATAGTAAGATAATTCAACTTTCCAACTAGTCTTCAATATCTATTAGGGTTTGAAAAGGCTCCCCTTATCTGACATAGAGGGAAGGGAACCCAGATGCTTTGGTCTATCTATGGGCTTTCAATCTTAACATCCCAATCTCCTCCAAAATGTCAAGTACATACTTTTTTTTTCGAGAGATAACAACACCAAGAAAATATTTCTGTAGGCCTAAGTATTTGGTCTGAAAGCACAAAAACAGATGCCGATTATGATCTTGACTGCCACACTTATCATCCAAGGTAATCGTAACGTCATCCACATAAATAACATGATAAATGCCTTGGTTAGTGGAAGAATGTCTATAAAACTACGAATAGTCAACTTCACTACAAACCATGCTTGTTACTAAGAATTGTATTGAGTATCTCGAATCACACTCTAGGACTTCGCTTGAGGTCTTATAAGGCTTTACATTGCTTACAAACAAAACCACACGACTCCCCCAAACCACGAATCCGAGCTGCTGTTCCATATATGCCTCTTCAACTAAATCACTACGTGAAAAGTCATTTTTGATATCTAACTTATAGAGACCAATGTGCATAGCTGTCATTGATATGATAAGACAAACATATGCCATCTTGAAATTGGTGATAAGATATCACCGTAATCAAACCAGAAATTTGATTATAGCCTTTGTCTATTATGAGACGGGCTTTTTTAGGCATTCAATCTGACCATCTGGCCAACCTTGTTCTTGAACATCCATTAAGGAACTTTGAGGAGAGGTTCAACAAAGCATGGGGTGTTTGTTGTCTAAAAAAGGCAACAATATTCTATTATGGTTCTTAAGTTACACGGGATTACTCCCAACTTCGTATATTTATACTAATAAATTTGTACAACAGAATCTGTTGATTAAGGAGATCAAATCTGTCCGATAATTTATCCTAGCATTTACAACAAAAATGTAACAAAGGAAATAGAAATATATACCTAGTAGTATCTCAGTGGAATATTTCAAATATCTCCAAAATTTCAAAATGGTGCTAGACAAATAGAGAGAAGGGAAGTGCAAAATTCTCAACATCAACATCCTAGAATTTCTTCCATTAACATCCTTTTGTTATATTTAAAGTATTCACTTTTTCTACCTTGAAGATATGTGTATAAATTCTAGCATTTCGGTGGCTGAAGTATGTCACTAGCAGCGGCTAGGCAAAATACTATTGCGGAAAATTGAGGTAGGCGGGAAGAGTATCAAACAGAAGAGTTCCTTATATTGGAATTTGTCCTTGGAATAGGGACGTAAGTCTCGGAGAATAAAAACATGAAATAGTTTTAGGAACAACAAAATAGAGATAAATATGTTATATGGATTATGTTCATAATTTATCATTACATTCATTTCTTTTGTGCATTTTTTGGTGCACATTTGTTGTAGTTGTTGCTGAACATTGCCTCTTTCACTCAATTCCGTCAATTAGTGTCTTGCACATCATATTTGTATACATTTTTCTGTTTCTCCATCTCTATAATCAGATATGCTGATGGTAGGGGTTCTATGCAGCATCTGTTATAAAGGAAAAACTTTCAGCCTTGGGAGCATCTGGGGTGTTAGCAGAACATCAGCTTCAAGCTCAACTACAAGATCATCATCTGAAAGGGTGAGTTCTAATCTGCAGTTAGATATAGGAATGGATATCAGTTACTTTCTTTTTTGGTGTTTGCATCCAACAAATTAGTTATATAATGTTGTTTATACTCTAAATTGCGTGCTATATTTGTTCTTAGTTTTTGGTCATGATTCTGGAGCACAGCCTATTATCTGAAACTGAAGACATACCTGTATCTGTATTTGGGGTTTATTTACAAAATGATATTGTTAAAGTGGCAAGTTAATTATATAATGCTCTTTAGACTCTAAATCCCCTGCTATTCTTGTTATGAGTTTTTAGTCTCGATTATGCAGCACATCTTATAATCTGTATTTGAATGTGATACCTATATCTGAATATGAGGTTTATTTGTAACACAATATTGTTAAAAGTCTCTGGTGCAGCATCTAATCCTGGGTACTAGGTTCATTAATAACATGGTGTTGGGGTGCTTGGTTCCCAAGGGGTTTGCATATTATTTTAACGAAGCTTCGTTAAGTCACTAGTTTGAAATGAGCAACAAATCCGATTCCTGAGTAACTTGTGCTTGATTATTTTCTCCCTTAGTTTCCTGTTTTCAGCGCATATGGTTTGTCATAAAGTGATTCACGTTTTTTAAGTGCTGACATCCGCACTCTATTCTGCAGCCAGAGTAATCTTACAGTATCAGACATTGCAAGGAAGGCATTTCTTTACAGTGTACGTCTCTTTCTTGTTATGGTATAGGAGTTTATTGTCACATGAAAATCATCATATGCTAGTGTTAACCTGAGTGTCAGATAAAAGAAGCAAAGGACTGAAACCTCCTTAATGCATTTCATTTAATTTCCTAAAAAAGCTTTTGGAAGGTTTCTAGCTATGCCCTTGAGCTAGTTTAGCATTCTAGACTGTGTTTCCTCATATATATTTTTTCCTAACTAGAGAAAGGGATTTTGTGACGGAAGAAAAGAAAAAGAAAAACCTAGAAAATTCGTTCGCAAGAAAAGGGCCAATTTACTTTGAGAAAATGTTTTCTATTTCAATATCTGTTTTACTTTTAGCCACAAAAATGTCACTTTGTTACCTTTAAAATTTTGTTTAGGAAATATCACACATTTTTTTTGTTGTTTTCGCTGTTTCTCATTGAAACTTTGAAAATGTAATATTTTTTTTACAGTAAAAGCGAATACAAAAAACTGTTTCTCTAATTAAATAGCTTCTGAGAGATTGAGTCTCTCCGCATCTCTGACAAAGAAATTCCCAAATAGTCATATTAAGCAATTCACAGCAGACAACCTGAGAAAAATACTGTCCCAAATGTAGTATAGAGATGGCAGAGTACCCTTAAAAATTCGAGCATTCACTTCCAGTAACAGATACCGGAGAACAACTTAACTGAGCAGCGCATACAATTTTAGCTTCTTTACAAGTGCCAAAACCTCTTTTTTTAGGAGAAACTGATTCAAAGAGAAGTTGCAGTAGAGCAATGCGGAAAAAGATGAATTCTATTTTCATACTATAACAATACATTCATTACACATACACATGTTAGGAGACAAAGCAGTGAAGCGAGAGGTCTTTGTTTTTCAATTCTTTCTGAAAGTTACTTTTGCATGAATTTTGTAGCATTTCATGGAAGGCCATATGAGAATCTCTCCAATATCACGCCTGCCCCTCATTACTGTTTTAGATACCAAGCATCATCTGAAGGACTTTCCAGTTTGTGAGGTATGATTGTGGTGACTATTTGATCAAAGACATTTGCTCAGATTTTTTTTCTCATTCACCTGACACTGCATATCCCCTGCCAGCCATTTCATTTGGAGCTAAATTTTTTTAATAAAGCAAACCGAGTTCTTCATTATCCATCCAGGGCGTTCTATATGGATGGACTGAACCTTATGGCACATAACCTTTCGTCTGGGTCTGACACTATCTACAGGAAGCTCTATAATTCGGTAATGTAGAGATTTATATTTTCTACAAGTATCTTGCATTTGGATTTCTGTCAAACTTACATAACATTGATATGTTGTAAATATGTTTATCAGAGGCTAATTCAACAGTGTATCATTGCTCATTAATTATCTATAGATTCCTGGAAATGTGGAGTACCGAGCAAAATATTTGATTCACAGTAAAAAGCAGCACTTATTTCTCGTAGTTTACGAATTTAGTGGTGCTACAAATGAAGTCGTGCTTTACTGGGAAAATAGTGATGCACAGACAGGAAACAGTAAAAGCAGCACGGTAAAAGGTATTTCTTCCTATTAGAGTTATATCTTAGAATATGAATAATCAGCACTATAGAATAATTAAGTCCAGCCTTAATTTAATAGAATAAGAAAAGTCTTCCTTAATTGTAGAGCTTGAATGATTCAACTCTTGAATGTTCATCTCCTCTTATATAAATAGAGCATAATGCTCCTTTCCAATTAAGCAATAACAGAATCTGTTTCTCTCTTTTCTCTTTTAGCTGTTTCTCTCTTCTCTCTCATATCTCACTCTAATATGGTATCAGAGCTTCGGTTCTATCCATGGCAGCGATTCCAGTAACTACAGCTCCGGCCACCCCAACATCTATGTCCTTCCAACTCAAAATCACAGAAAAACTTGATGAGAAGAATTTCCTACTTTGGCGCCAACAAGTAGATCCTTTCGTTAACGCGAACAATCTTCAAAACTACCTTTACCTTCGTGACATACCGAATCAATACCTGACTGATGAAGATCGTGCCGCTGCTCGTGAGAACCCTGCGTATCGCACCTGGATTACGCAAGATCAGTGGCTTATGACGTGGCTTCAATCCACGCTTTCACCTTCAATTCTTTCACGTGTTCTTGGATGCGTTCATTCCTACGAGCTCTGGGAACGTATTCTTGCGCATTTTCAAAAGCTTACACGTGCGAAAGCAAGACAACTACGAGCGGAACTCAGATCTACAACACTTGAAGACAAATCTGTTGGTGATTATCTGGTTCGCATCAAAGCTCTTGTTGACGCGCTTGCTTCAGTAGGAGATCCAGTTCCAGATCAGCAACACATTGATGTGATTCTTGAAGGTCTTCCTCAAGACTTTGCCTCTGTTATTTCAGTTATTGAAAGCAAGTTTGATTCAGTAGAACTTGAAGAAGTTGAAGCTCTTCTTCTTGCTCATGAGATGAGATACAACAAGTATAAGAAACACTCACAAATGGAGGTGGCTGCCTCAGTGAATCTCACTCAAGCCAATTCTCAACCTGAAACTGATAACTCGAATAACAAGAACAATGAACAAGCTGTGAATTCAACCTTTAATCCAACCTATTCAAGAGGAGGCCGTGCAGCTGGCCGTGGTGGTGGACGCGGCCGTGGGAGAGGTAGGTTCAGCAACATTCAATGTCAAGTTTGCTTCAAATATGGTCATCTTGCTGCTAACTGCTATCATAGGTTCAATCAACAATTTCAACCTAACATACCTGCTGATTTTCAAACAATGAACCTACAAAATTTCTATCCGTATCAACCAATTGGTGGACCTCAGTTTGCTCAGCCCATGGTTAACACTCGGTCACGCCCAAGCTATCAACCAAGACTTGCCCCTCTCCCTGTTCCTCAGTCACATATCACTCCCAATGCTATGATTGCTAACACAACTTCAGTTCCAAGCAGTGCCTGGTTCCCAGACTCAGGAGCTTCTTATCATGTTACCAATGCCTCTCAAAACATACAGCAAACCACACCTTTTGAAGGTCCTGATCAGATCTTCATTGGTAACGGTCAAGGTTTGCACATTCACTCTTCAGGCTCTTCTTATTTTCCTTCTCATTCTAAACCTAACACTCCATTAGCTCTTCATAATTTACTGCTTGTTCCTTCTATTACAAAGAACCTGATAAGTGTCAGCAAATTCTGTCTTGATAATAGAGTTTTCTTTGAGTTTCATGCTGATATGTGCTATGTCAAATCTCAGGCTACCAATGAAATTCTGCTCCAAGGTCGTGTAGGAAGTGATGGCCTGTACCAATTTTCCCATCTTCAGCTTCTTAAGTCTCCTTCAACAAGTCAAGTCTCATGTCTCACCTTAGACTCTAATGCTCATGTTTCAAGATCTGATTCCAGCACTAGTGATAGGGTTTCAGTTTCTAATCAAAATGTATCAGCTAATAACTCATATAATTCTCAACATACTTGGCATTTACGCCTTGGTCATCCAAATTCTAATACTATGAGACTTGTTTTAGCTCAATGTAATATTCCTTATTCTAATAAAGCTGAATCTATCTTTTGTTCTGCCTGCTGTATGGGAAAGGCACATAGGCTGCACTCCCCTCAGTCACAAACTCAATATCACTCTCCTCTTGAATTAATTTTCAGTGACCTATGGGGTCCTGCCCCAGTCAAATCCTCCCAAAACTTTACCTACTACATCACCTTTGTTGATGCATCACCAGATTTACTTGGATCTATTTGCTCAAAAATAAATCTGAAGCCTTAACTATCTTTAAACAATTCAAAGTCATGGCTGAATTACAATTTGGATTTCCTATTAAATCTGTCCAAACTGATTGGGGTGGTGAATTTCGCCCATTTACAAAGTTTCTTTCTGATCTTGGCATTATTCATCGCCTAGTTTGCCCTCACACTCATCACCAAAATGGTGTAGTGGAGAGGAAGCATAGACACGTTGTTGATCTTGGTTTAACCCTCTTGAGTCATGCCTCTTTACCTCTCAAATTTTGGGACCATGCCTTTTTAACCGCTGTCTACCTAATAAATAGGTTACCAACCATGTCTCTCAATCAACATATACCATATGCTGTCCTTTTCAATCAAAATCCTGACTATAAATTCCTTAAAGTCTTTGGGTGTGCTTGTTTTCCTCTCCTTCGCCCATACAACTCTCAAAAATTTGACTTTAGATCCCACGAGTGCCTTTTTCTAGGGTACTCTACAGCTCACAAAGGTTACAAATGTCTCTCTCCAAGTGGTAGAATATTCATCTCTAAAGATGTTCTTTTCAACGAGTCCAAATTTCCTTACAATGATCTTTTTTTCTCTAATGTTTCTCTCCCCTCATCAACCATTCCATCCTCCTCCTCATCTAAAGTAACCCTTAACACACAAGCTCTCCCTCATGTTTTTCCCGTTCCTACTGCTTCCACACCTATTGTCTCACACTCCTCTTCTTCTTCTCAATCCAATTCCAGCCCCACACCTATTGTCTCACACTCCTCTTCTTCTTCCCAATCCAATTCCAGCCCCACACCTACTGCCTCTGGGTCAGCAACCCCTATAACACAAACAGCCAGCACTAATCCTACTCCTTCACCCTCTTCAAATGCCAACAATCAGCCTACTACTACCACTTCACTATCCTCCTCCTCTATTTATGCTCCTAGGGATCCTAACCTTCAGCCTCTCCCCACCAATACTCATCCTATGACTACTAGAACTAAATCTGGTGTACCCTTACCTCGTCTAAATCCTTCCATTTTTCTTGTCAATTCTGAGCCTAAGAGTGTTAAAACTGCTCTCCAAGATCCTAAGTGGTTTGCTGCTATGCAAGAGGAGTATGGTGCCTTGATAAGGAACAACACTTGGTCTTTGGTACCACTGCCTGCTAACAGGAAAGCAATAGGCTGCAAGTGGGTTTTTCGTGTAAAGGAAAATGCTGATGGGACAGTAAATAAGTACAAAGCTAGGCTTGTTGCTAAGGGGTTCCATCAAGTCCATGGATTTGACTTTAATGAAACTTTCTCCCCTGTTATTAAACCGGTCACAATTAGAATTATTTTGACTCTTGCTCTAACTTACAATTGGCCTTTGCAGCAGTTGGACATAAACAATGCCTTTTTGAATGGCATTCTTGAAGAGGAGGTCTATATGATGCAACCCCCTGGATTTACTGCCCCTAATTCATCTCTGGTTTGTCACTTGCACAAGGCCTTGTATGGCCTAAAACAAGCCCCGAGGCAATGGTTTGAAAGACTCAAAACCACTCTTTTATCCTTTGGCTTTCTAAACAGCAAGTGTGATACTTCACTTTTCATCTACAAGCATCACAATGCTGTCATTTATATGCTGGTTTATGTTGATGATATAATCATCACCGGAAACTCCCCTCCTCTCATCAAGCAAGTTACTCAACAATTAAATCATGTGTTTGCTCTCAAACAACTTGGTGACTTGGATTATTTTCTGGGCCTTGAGGTGAAGAAATTGTCCAATGGAAATCTCCTTCTCACTCAATCTAAGTACCTAAGGGACTTGCTAATCAAAACTGATATGGAGAATTCCAATCCAGTTGCTACTCCTATGGCTTCCTCCACCAAACTCATCAAAACAGGGTCTGCTGCCTTGTCTGATGCCTCCCACTACCGGTCCATTGTAGGGGCCCTGCAGTATGCAACAATTACACGGCCAGAAATCTGCTATGCTGTTAACAAAGTATGTCAATTCATGGCACACCCCTTGGAGTCCCATTGGCTAGCTGTCAAGCGTATTCTGCGCTACCTAAAAGGAACTATCACCTCTGGTTTATTGTTCACTCCAGCCTCCACTGTTCCGTTCTCTCTGCAAGCCTATTGTGATGCTGACTGGGCTGCTGACCCAGATGATAGAAGATCCACCTCTGGGTCAGCTGTGTACTTAGGCCCTAATTTGATCTCTTGGTGGTCCAAAAAGCAAACTGTTGTTGCTCGTTCTAGTGCTGAGGCAGAGTATCGCAGCTTGGCTCACACCACAACTGAAGTTTTATGGGTTCAAACTTTGCTAGCTGAACTAAAAATTCCCTTGACAACTCCAACCATCTATTGTGACAACCAGAGCACAGTTGCTATGGCTCATAACCCTGTTCTTCATGCAAGAACAAAGCATATGGAAATTGACCTCTTTTTTGTAAGAGAAAAGGTGATTAATAAGTCTCTCACTGTCTGCCACATTCCTGGTGTTGACCAGAAGGCTGACATCCTCACCAAGCCTCTCTCATGTTCAAGATTTATGGAGCTCAGCAGCAAGCTCAACCTGTCTGCCTCAAGTCAGCCTTTGCAGCCACCTTGAGCTTGTGGGGGAGTATTAGAGTTATATCTTAGAATATGAATAATCAGCACTATAGAATAATTAAGTCCAGCCTTAATTTAATAGAATAAGAAAAGTCTTCCTTAATTGTAGAGCTTGAATGATTCAACTCTTGAATGTTCATCTCCTCTTGTATAAATAGAGCATAATGCTCCTTTCCAATTAAGCAATAACAGAATCTGTTTCTCTCTTTTCTCTTTTAGCTGTTTCTCTCTTCTCTCTCATATCTCACTCTAATACTTCCCATGAAATATATTATTTCTTTCTGCTAGAGTTAGTTCTTGCATAATGTTTAAATAATTCAAGTAACTATCTTGTAGGTCGAGACGCAGCATTTATTGGCTCCAATGAAAATCAGTTTGTTATACTCGATGAGGACAGGACAGGGTTGGCTTTATATTCTCTGCCAGGAGGGGCCTCTCAAGAAGCTAATGACAATGATAAAGTTCTTGAAGAAAATCAACCTACAGAGACTAATGTTGGTTCAATTCGTGGCCCAACACCATTTATGTTTGAAACCGAAGTTGATCGTATCTTTTCTACACCATTAGGTGCTTAAATATGTATACACATAATTTAAATTTATCTAACCTACCTATCTTATCTTTCTATCTATTTTCACCGATAAAATTTTGTTCTTTTTTCTACAAGCTTAGCATTAGTTTATCAACAAGTATTGAAAATGCTTTCTCTGATTTTAGATTCAACTTTGCTGTTTGCTTCTCATGGGAACCAAATTGGATTAGTAAAGCTCATTCAAGGGTACACCTTATCAACTTCAGCTGCCAATGGCCATTATATATCCACCAAAAGTGACGGAACAAAGTCAATTAAGTTGAAAAGAAACGAAATTGTACTTCAGGTATGACTGTTGAAGTTACAGGTCTTCAGACCATTGAATATGATAATGCTGTAATGTTATTGGTAATGATTTGATACTAGCTTGATATAAAAGACTAAACACTAGTTATTAATTAAAGGGATATATTACTCCTAATCCTAAACAAAAAGGGAAATCAGAAAATAAATCAGGGTAAGTAATATGGAAACTGATCTTTGGAGATAGTTTTAGAGTAAGGTAAGTAATATGGAAACTGATCTTAGGAGATAATTTAAGATACTCTAAGATTGGAAACTGGTCCTACCAGATTAATTAAGATACTCTAATAATATACTATCAAGGATATTATAAGATATTTCCTTATATTCTAACAATAACTTAGAAGTGGGCTTTTGATTATGATTACAAGTAGCACACACTTCTCGAAAGTTTAGTGAAATAATTGAAAGTTGAGAGTAAAATTGGAGAAAATGGAGGAGTGGGTAATGTATTTTAAAAATATTCAAAATGTGGTATTTCTGCATTGTCTACAAATAGAAGAAGAAAAAAAACAGAGGACAGTGAATTATTAAAATTTAAAGAGAAGAAAAACACTATGAGGACAGTGAGAAATAAACAGAGGACAACAGTGAGTTATTAAATTTAATAAAAGAAGAAGAATTTAAAAAAGAAAAGAAGAAGAAAAGAATAACAGGGGATGGTGAGAAAAGAAGAAGAAGAAGAAGAAGAAAAAGAAGAAGAAGAAGAAGAAAAGAAGAACAAAGGAATAAGAAGAAGAATAGAGGACAACAACCTGAACGGAGGTCTCTTTGCAGGGCGCAAGGCTAGGAGGGGAGGAATCAGCCCACACGAGAAGAGGATGGGGTGGAAGCGATGAGAACTGAGAACAATGAGAAGCAAGTGAGAAGACAATGAGAAACTTTCTGAAGTTAGGGAAAAGCTATGCGTCCAAGGATAAATGCGGTATTTCTGTTCCAAAACAGATAGCGGGTTGTAACCTGCTCCGGGCTGGGAAGCGCTCCGCTCCCGCGACCCGCAACAAAGCCAATCGTGGCCACGATCTCAAACTGAGACACGATGTGCTGTAGCATAGCGGTCAGCCTCTGCGCCGTGTCACTCTCCCTTGGTAGCACCACTATTCCCCTCGCTTGATAACTCTTGAATCAACTAATGTGACAAGACTGTCTTGAATTTGATTTCTGACAACTATTTGGTTGTACTTGTTTTTTATCGTAAACAAACATACCAAGAACTCAATCTCAAGTCATTCAGAACCAAAGTCAGACCTTTCTCTCTAAATTCAAGTGATGTAGACCAAACTAAATGGTTTTTCTCTTTGAGCTTTCTGAGGTGATAGTTGGGGGTTTCTGCAAATAAAGATATAAGGGTCATCATTACTTGTTTTAGGCCTGACTGAGTGTTTTCTGCTGATTTTTTTTTCTGGTGCAAATAGAAAGGGCGAGAAAGAGGAAATCTTACCAAACAACCGTTAGCCCACAATCTAACTGACGAGAGGCCCATGTCCCCAGTTTAGGGGGTCGGTGTGAAGTTCCTGTGACAAGCAGTGCGTGAATTACGTGTGCCGAGAAGGCATCTGCAAGTGGTGGCTTCTAGAGTGTTTTCCAGGGACAGTGCTTGGTGTGCTGGCTGGTCAGCAGCTTCAATACTGATATGTCCTGAGTAGTGGTTATAAGTGGGAGACAACCTTCACCCCATGAGCTAGATTTTAGGGTTAGTCAGGCACAAACTATTCCAAGAGTCTACAAGAAAGTTCTTAAAGAGAAGCTTCTTGAGGACATTATTGTTATAGTTATTGTACATGAACCTAAGACTTTATATACGTCTTTCCAATAAGAACAACAAAGATCAAATGTGTTAAGACCATGTTTCCTTCATCCTTTATTTCCTTGGGCATAAGACATTGATTATAGGATTCCTTGTTCGTTGAAGTATAATAAATAACTTCATTCATCAACATTTCTTCAAATTTGACAGGTGCACTGGCAAGAGACCCTACGGGGATATGTTGCTGGAATTTTAACAACACACAGAGTCCTTATTGTTTCGGCGGCACTTGATTTGCTTGCAGGAACTTCTACAAATTTTGACAAGGGACTTCCTTCAATATCCTTTGAATTTTTCCCTTTTTGAAACCAAGACACCATTTATTCGCATTAAATTCTTGCATCACATATATTATCTTTTTTGAAACCTTAACTTCAACTCACTTTAGATCTCTCTTGTGGGTTGGGCCTGCCCTTCTTTTCTCTACTTCTACGGGCGTTAGTATACTTGGTTGGGATGGAAAAGTGAGGCCTATCTTATCAATCAGTATGCCATATGCAGGTAAAAAGTATACTGGGATGTAACTATATCTTATCCATCCATTACCCTACTGACCTATTTATATGAATTTATTTTGCAGTCTTGGTTGGGGCTTTGAATGACAGATTGTTGCTTGCTAGCCCTACAGAGATAAATCCCAGACAGAAGAAGGGGGTAGAGATCAAAAGTTGCCTCGTTGGTCTTCTTGAACCAATTCTTATTGGATTTGCCACAATGCAGCGAAGTTTTGAGCAGAAGCTTGATCTGTCAGAAATATTATATCAAATAACGTCGAGGTTTCCTTCTTTTTTATCTTTGAAATTTAACCTCTTTTCTGAAATTTAACCTCTTTTCTGAATTATACAACATCCTTTCTGTATAGCTGAAGTTTTTATACCCATTTTATCCTACAGATGCAATTTGATGAGAATATTACTAATTTGCTGAAAGTTAAAAAATTCTCAATATGGTGTAAATGAACAGTGGTCAGTGCAAGTCTCATGACTGTATGACAGAACTTATGTTAGTATTTTTACAAAAATGTTTTATTGAATGACTAAAGGCTATGGCTTAAGTTTGGATACCATTTTTTTGTGCACATTATTTCTTACTAAAGTTATGGCTCTAAGCCATGATTTAAGGTAAGTGTTAAGAGTCCAACATCTCACAATATATAGCATGAACAAATGTTCTTATATGTGGGAGAAATTCTCATCATACAAGTTGGTTTTGTAAGGTTGAGTTAGGTCCAATCACAGTTCTAAGATAGTAGTATCAGAGCATGGTTCAAGATCCGTTAGGCTACCTTTAATCGTTAGAAATAGCTGAGGTGTTATATTCTTATGCCATAAATTAGTAGAGTCAGCTCCAGGATCCCAACTCTTTTCAGATTGAAAGTGAAATGGCTCACATGCCGCTCTCATTGGAGGTTTTACCCAAGGATAAACCATGTTTTGCTCTTGTGAGACAGCTCATTTTAATAAAAAAGATCACATGATATATTGTTGTGGCCCATAAGGCATGCTTTTGGTTTGGATTTTTTGTTTTTGCTACGTTGTTTTATAGTTGTGTCCTATGGTCACACGTCTTTTTCCCTAATATTATGATAATCTTTTTCCCTAATATTATGATAATCTTTTCTATCTAATCATGTGCTGAGTTTTAAATTGGAAACATATGCCCATAAATCACAATATATAGTCTCCCGTACCCCTCCATGTAACCCAATGTCATCGACAAACCAATCCCCAAATGTGCATTGCCAAAGATATCAAGCTTTCTAAGTTCGTGTTAATTTTATGAAGGTTGTTGATTTAAGCGAGTTTCCTAGAATGCATTGCCGGTATCTATCAAGTTGTTGACCATTATTCTTTTATATTTCACTTCAAACTTATGTCATATTGTTATTAAATTCTTGCATATTTTACTTCGAGTTTATTTCATATTGTTTTTATTTTGTTGCTCTAAATTATAAATATACTAATTTGATTTTATGGAACTGACGTAGCCTTGGTGACCTCTATAGCATTGACGCTAGGTAAAGAAGTGTTTTGACCCAATGAACATCCTTAGGCTTTGTTTGGGGGTTTGGAGGGGAGGGTTTCGAAAAATGATTTTTTTTATATTAAAATATTGAGAAATTTTTAATATTTTTTGAAAAAAGATTTTGTCTAGAATGATAAGATAATGTTTATCATTAATGTATTTTTAATTTTTGAAATACTATAACAACAAAAATCATATTTAAACAAATTGTTTAAGTCCTCAAAACCCTCCAAAACCTCTTCCAATACAAATTTTGAGTTCCTTCAAATTAGAGATTTTTTGGTGTTATGAAGAAAAACAAGCCCTCTAAAACCCTCCCAACCAAAATCTTTATTTTTTTCACTCAATCCTTCCTATTTTTCAAAGCCCTCCCCTCCCTTCCCCTCCAAACTGCCAAACAAAGCCATAGTATTTTTCCGTGTTGAATTAAGAGAGACTAAGAGACATTTAGGTTAAACAATGTGTTTTGAAAGCACGACGAAGGCTTTATTATATATAGAGAGATTACAATTAATTACATGATATAATCGATGTGAGATTATTCTACATACAAATATTCTTAACACTATATATTTACAAATATTAACACTCCCTCTCAAGCTGGAGCATATAAGTCAAATGCACCAAACTTGCCACATATATAATTAGTTCTGAGACTTCGCTGAGATTTTGTAAACACATATGCCAATTGATCATTAGAGTTGACAAAGCTTGTGACGATGTCGCCAGATTCAATCTTCTCTCTGACAAAGTGACAGTCTATCTCAATATGTTTGGTCCTCTCATGGAAGACTGGATTTGAAGCAATGTGCAATGCAACTTGATTATCACATACAAGTGTCATTGGTTTTGCTTCTTCAATTTGAAGTTCTTTGAGCAACTGTTTTAACCAAATGAGTTCACATATTGCTATTGCCATGACCCTATACTCTGCCTCGGTGCTTGATCTTGCAACTACATTTGATTTCTTACTTTTCCAGGATATAAGGTTTTTTCCAACAAGTACACAATACCCAGAGGTGGATCGTCTATCAATTGGTGACTCTGCCCAATAAGCATCAGAGTATCTGACTATCTGAGCATGTTCTTTATCTTCATACACTAAACCTTTTCTTGGAGCACATTTGATGTATCTCAGAATCCGAATAACTGCATCCATATGTTCATGACAAGGGGAATTTAAGAACTGACTTACCACACTGACTGCAAAAGAAATGTCTGGACAAGTGACTGTGAGATAATTAAACTTTCCAACCAATCTCTTATACCTTCCCGAGTCTGATAGAGGCTTCTCCTGATTGGGTAGTAGTTTGACATTTGGATCCATAGGAGTATCAGTTGGTTTAGTGTTCAACAAACCTGTTTCTTCCAAAATATCCATAGTATATTTCCGCTGAGAAATCACCAAACCATCTTTAGATTAGACTACCTCAATACCCAAGAAATACCGGAGTTTACCAAGATCTTTTGTCTGAAATTGATTCGAAAGATGTTGTTTCAACTGGAGTATTCCATGCTCATCACTACCAGTTATGACAATATCATCTACATACACAATAAGATAAATACACCATTGGGCTGAGTGACGATAAACAACTGAATGGTCAGCTTCACTACGGACCATACCAAATTGTTGTACTAGTGCTGAATCTGCCAAACCAAGCTCTCGGAGATTGCTTAAGACCATAAAGAGACTTGTGTAGTCTACAAATCATATTTGATGACTTCCCCTGAGCAACAAACCCAAGTGGTTGCTCCATATATACTTCCTCTTCAAGATCACCATGTAAAAATGCATTTTTGATGTCAAGTTGATGAAGAGGCCAATGCCGAAGGGCTGCAATGGCTAGAAGAAGTCTAACAAATTCCATCTTGGCTACCGGCGAGAATGTATCATTATAATCCAATCCAAAAATTCGAGTGTATCCTTTGGCTACCAAACGAGCTTTAAATCGATCAATCTTACTATCTGGACCAACTTTCACTGTATAAAGCCAACGACTACCTACTAAAGATTTCTCAAGGGGTAGAGGAACCGATTTCCATGTATCACTGCTTTGAAGAGCACACATTTCATCAATCATTGCTTGCCTCCACTCAGGGTGAGATAATGCTTCACCTGGAGTGTTAGGAATAGAAACAAAAGACAAAGAAGACAAACAAGTATACTGCAAAGGGGAAAGATGATGATAGCATAAATCAATATAATGTGGAGAAGAATTTCGTGTTTGACGTATACCTTTTCGAAGGGCAATCAGAAGATCAGACTCAGGTTGCAGGATCAGATCCGGTGATGGCGAGAGCGTCGGAGGAGAGTCTGCAATGACCTCAGGGACATGTACGGCCTCAGGGACAGGTACGACCTCAAGGACAAGTATGACAGATGTTGGTTGACGACGCTGATATGTTTGAAGTGGACGAGAAGTCGGGGGGTCAACCGTAGGTTTATCTAGTGGGCCAGATTCCCTAGAATGACGGGGGATAGTGACATATGAGACTTCCAGAAGATGTGTTGGACTACTCTCCTGAAGGGGTTTCGAAGTTACTTGGTTGGACTCGAAATATGGAACAGACTCGAAGAAGGTGACATCGGCCGACATGACGTATCGTTGTAGGGTATGTGAATAGCAACAATAACTTTTTTGGGATCGATGATAACAAAGAAAAACACACTTTAATGATCGAGCTGATAGTTTATCAAGACCAGGAGAGAGATTGTGTACAAAACATGTAGAACCGAAGACTCGGGGAGGAATTTGGTGAAGGGGGGAATGAGGAAAAAGGATTGAATGAGGGATTTTATTGTTAAGGACAGATGATGACATGCGGGTTATAAGGTAACACGACGTTAGCACAACGTCTCCCCAAAATCAAAGTGGAACATTACCATGGAGTAGGGTCCGAGTGGTTTCTACAAGATGCCAATTTTGCATTCAGCTACTATGTTTTGTTGAGGTGTATAAGGACAAGATGTTTGGTGGAGAATACCATTACTGGACATAAAAGTTTGAAATTGTTGGGATAAATATTCATGAGCATTATCAGTTTTAAGGTACGAATAGACACCAAATTGAGTTTTTATTTCTTTATAAAAATTTTCAAAAATAGAAAATAATTCTGATTTATTTTTCATTAAAAATAACCACGTGCAACGTGAAAAATCATCAATAAAGGTGACAAAATACCTAGACTCAAGAGTAGAGATAGTACGTGAGGAACACCAAACATCGGAGTGAACTAAAACAAAAGGGAACGAAGCTCGTTTTTTGACTCAATTGAGAAATTGACTACGAGTGTGTTTCCCTAACTGACACGACTCACAATGTAAATTAGATACTTTTGATAAATTTGACACTAACTTCTGTAATCTGGAAAGACTAGGATGACCTAACTGAGCATGGATTGTGAGTGGAGAATCTTTGGCTGAGCATGTCTGAGATGACACTGAGAGGTAATAAAGGCCTTGAGACTCACATTCGACGCCAATTGTCCGTTCCGAACTCCAATCCTGCAAAGTGACATTACTATTAGTGAAGGTGACAATACAATCAAGAGAACGAGTTAAACGACTGACTGAAAGTAAATTAAATGGACAATTAGGTACATAGAGTACAAAAATAACATAGAGAGAAGGTAGAATTTGAACAGTACCAATTCCTTCGGATCGGGTTTGAGAACCATTGGGAGAAGTTGTACTAGGTAAGAAACCAGAGGTAGAGAGGGAAGAGAAAAGATTTTTATTACCAGTAACATGATCAGACGCACCAAAATCAAGGACCCAAGGTCCAAGAGAAGATGATTGAGAGGAGCAAACAAATGAATTACTAGTGTGTGCAACCGAAGCAGTAGAATCTGAGTTCTGATAATTCTAATACCACTTGAAGAAATCATCGTAGTTTGGCGTAAAGTTCTGAGGAGTAGCCATGAGTATCAGGTTTGGAAAAATTGCACGGTGACGAGTGCGGCAGTGGGAAAATCATTAGGATTGACCGGATCAAAGGAGGTGCTTTTGCCGGTAGAGTTAGTTTGCCGAAAGGTTGTCAAAATTAGTAGCGGCAGATGACGGCAGCTGTCCGGTGGTTACCGGAGAATTTTGGAAAGTGAGAGGCAAATCAGAGTGATGACATAGTTTGCAAAAAAAAAAAATGTCACCGGAAGACAGTGGATCAACCGGGTAAAGCACGGCGAAGAATTGCCTCTTAGTAGGCTCTAGATACCATGTTAAATTAAAAGAGACTAAGAGACATTTAGGTTAAACCGTGTTTTTTGAAAGCACTACAGAGACTTTATTAGATAGAGAGATTACAACTAATTACATGATATAATCGATGTGGGACTATTCTACATACAAATATTTTTAACACTATATTTATAAATATCAACATTCCGTATAGTTCCTGCTTCATCCATATGGTACTTGCATCACAACGAACAATATATATCTAGTGAGGAGCATGGTTGGTGGTGTTTTAAAAACACTACTCCATTTACTTAAATATCTATGCCATTTTTAAAAATAGTATGCAACTTGAATCTTTTGGGAAAAATGTCAGCTTTAGGCTTTAAGAGCACTTATAATTTTATTTCAGTTAAATGTATATTAAAGATGATAAAATTGACACATTAAATTCATTTCTGATTGAAGGTTCGACAGCTTGCGCATAACACCTAGGTCTCTAGATATCCTTGCAAGAGGATCTACGGTCTGTGGAAATTTAGCTGTCTCTTTATCACAATCTGGTCCACAGTTCACCCAGGTTAGCATTTGGATTCTGTCTTATCAATTTAGCATTGGTCTCTCTGGACTACTGAACATGTTGAAAATATGATCATAGGTGATGCGAGGTGTCTATGCTGTTAATGCTCTTCGTTTTTCCACTGCTTTATCTGTTTTGAAAGATGAATTTCTGCGATCCAGAGATTATCCAAGATGTCCTCCCACATCACATTTGTTTCACCAGTTCAGGCAGTTGGCTTATGCATGTATCAGGTAGGCAAACTGGGAATTGTCACTATGCATATGATGCTGCCGTTGTACTTATGGGATATTTTGTTCCTTCTACTATAGATTTGCTTAAATTTTTTTCTTGTTCTAAAGTCTTTTAATGTCTATATTAATTTGTTTAGGTTTTATTTTCTAAGACCAACCATTAGCTAATCTATTAGTGGATACATATTTTTCTAGACAAGTAAATAGTAGTTTTTATTTATTAGTTTTTTAATGGCTGTTGCATCTCACAAGATTCTTAACTAAAATTCAATGATTGTGACCTATTCTCGAATAAGTGTGCGGCTATAGGAAAGGTTTTAGCTGATTCCGTTCCACTCTTGTTGTCCTTACCCATACCGCAACCTTGGCTTCAATGGTTTCCAAAATTATAGGCAAGCGCGCCAGGGACTCTGAACCTTCTTGGGATACATTTCCTAATAATACCTTTGAAAGAGAAATGCGTAGCAATGACTCAATCAGATCCTCTGCCATAGGACTATGTAGTAAGGTTTCAGAGAAATCTAATAGAGTAGAAAATGGTTATTTGATTCTATTATTATGAATCTCAATCTGTTACAATAGAGTGAAAATCAGCTTTTTATAGCTGATTCCTACACTAACTATGGACAACTATCTCTAACTAATTCTCTCTTATACAACTTAACCATACAGCAAGGAGTGCAAATGGTAGAAACATCTTTATTTCCAATGGGAATATTACAACGGTCTAAAAACGGTTTTAGGAAAGACCATCAGGATGGCCTCTGCGTAAATGCCAAATATATTGTGAACTAGAAGACAATGAAAAATGTACTTTTTATACAAAGTTAACACTGTAAACAGAAGAACATGAAGCAGATAGAGGAGACGATGACTTAGCAGCATTAAGACAATTGATGATTTGTTGTGTGGTTTGTAGTGGTACTGAAGTTATTAGCATGATATACAAGTTTTTATATTTATTTTTATATTTATTTTTATAATGTAATTCCACTTGCAGGTTTGGTCAGTTTGATAGTGCAAAAGAAACATTTGAAGTTATTTCGGATTATGAAGGCATGCTTGATCTATTTATATGCCACCTTAATCCCAGTGCCATGCGGCGTATTGCTCAGAAATTGGAAGACGAAGGCCTTGACTCCGAATTGAGGCGATATTGTGAAAGAATATTACGAGTTCGGTCATCTGGATGGACACAAGGTATATTTGCCAACTTTGCTGCTGAGAGTATGGTTCCAAAAGGACCTGAATGGGGTGGTGGAAACTGGGAAATTAAAACCCCAACCACTGTGAAGGACATACCTCAATGGGAGCTTGCTGCTGAAGTGACACCATACATGAAGACTGATGATGGAACAATTCCATCCATTATTGTAGATCATATTGGTGTGTATTTAGGCTCAATTAAAGGAAGGGGTAATATTGTTGAAGTGAGGGAAGGTAGTTTGGTTAAGGCCTTCACGCCAGCAGGTAATGACAATAAAGTAAATGGTCTTGAAGCATCTTCAGTCAAGTCCATATCTAATCTACCGAATGTGGTTGGTGATGCCAAAGGTGATTCATTGATGGGTCTGGGAAGCCTTAACAAACAGCTTGTCAGTTCATCTGCGGATGAGCAGACTAAAGCCGAAGAAGAATTTAAGAAATCTATGTACGGAGCTGCTGATGATGGTAGCAGTAGTGATGAAGAAGGAGTATCCAAAATTAAAAGAATACACATTAAAATACATGACAAACCAATTTCCTCTTCTACTGTGGATGTGAATAAGATTAAAGAAGCCACTAGACAGTTTAAACTTGGTGAAGGGTTACCTCCACCAATGAGGACCAGGTCAAACAGCGGAAGCCAGGATCTTGGCCAGATTTTGTCCATGCCACCATCAACGACAGGAGCAGCTTCTGCTACTGTTTCAGCTCCTGTTGACCTTTTCGGTACAGAAGCTTCAACTCAACCAGAATTAATTTCACAGCCCACTACTGGGCTTGTAGGTGGGGGAGTTACAACAGGACCTATTCCAGAGGATTTCTTTCAGAATACAATTTCTTCTGTTCACGTTGCTGCATCACTGCCTCCTGCTGGAACTTTTCTCTCAAAATTCACTCCAGGGGTTCAAACAAGCAATACAGCTCCAAATCAAGGTGCTGCTGAAGCTGCTTCTAGTTTTCAAGGTGGTGTTTCTGCTCAAGCCATTCAACAACCTGTTGTTCCAATTGAGTCCATAGGACTTCCTGATGGTGGTGTCCCACCCCAATCCATGCCTCAGGCTGTAGTCACGCCCCAATCTCAGCTGCAGCCTACTCAGCCTCAAATTTCTAGCCAGCCTCTTGACCTTAGTGTACTTGGAGTACCAAATTCTGCTGATTCAGGGAAGCTTCCACAAACTGGTTCTGCACCAGTTTCCGTGCATCCTGGACAGGTATAATACATACATGCATAAGAATTACATAAAAGTCAAATGGTGTACACAACACTATTTCTTAGTTTGAGGTTCTATGGTTCTCAAAAACAGTTTTGTGCATTATTTTGTATTTTAAAGAGTGTGAGGAAGAATGCAGGATTTCAATGTTATGTATTGAATTGGTATCTACAAGAGAAAATTCATTTTCCTATTTCTCCTATTATGATTCCATGGTTTCTAGTAAAGAAATTACAGAGTTTTCTGAGAAAAATGTTTTGACTTGGCTATATATTTTGCACGTATGAGTATTATATGATGGGGTTTTTTCTATGGTAATGATATGGTTAGCATGTATTGTTTCTTCAGTCTCCAATCTAACGGATTTTCTAATAACAGGTTCCCCGTGGGGCTCCTGCTGCTGTATGTTTCAAGACTGGACTTGCCCACTTGGAACTAAACCATCTGTCAGATGCGTTGTCTTGCTTTGATGAATCTTTTCTTGCATTGGCCAAGGAACAATCTCGTGGAAGTGATATTAAAGCTCAAGCAACAATTTGTGCTCAATACAAAATAGCAGTCACTCTTCTTCGGGTACTAATACAATGCTGTAATTTTAAAGAACACAAATAGAATAGAAATCTTGCCAATAATAATAAGCAATAATAACAATAAAATAATACACGAGCTGTTGTTTCTCTAGGCCTGTAGTATCAGAAAACTGTTATAAGATGTCCTCAGTGCCGTAAGGGGTGTTGTCGACTAACTCCCAAAATAGCCAGAACAACTCCACAACATTTTTAGTTCATCTGAATATACATGAAGAGAAAAATACATAATTTTCCCCTTATTAGTATGGGAGACCCAGCCTCTTAATTTCTTTTAGTTTATTTCATTTGACAACTTATCATCTGTGAAGACTGGACTCTAGTTTCGGTCAAAGCTTCATGATAGAAAAAAAGTCACTATCCACACTATAGATTGAGCTGAAACTATTTGTTTATGCATGGCATAGCAATCAGTCAGAAGTGGACAATTTCTCTGAAACCTGGACCTCGGTAATTATTTTTACTCTGGAGTTTTGTAATACATTGGATGACCGGAAGTCTTTTATATTATTGCAGGAAATAGGACGACTGCAAAGAGTCCATGGCCCAAGTGTAATCAGTGCAAAAGATGAGATGGCAAGACTTTCACGTCATCTCGGGTCATTGCCTCTTCTGGCTAAACACAGAATAAATTGCATTCGAACTGCCATCAAAAGGAATATGGAGGTTCAAAACTATGCATATTCAAAGCAAATGCTAGAACTACTACTGTCTAAAGCACCTTCAAACAAGCAGGAAGAATTTAGAAGCCTGGTTGACCTGTGTGTTCAGAGGGGCTTGACTAATAAGTCCATTGATCCCTTAGAAGATCCCTCACATTTCTGTGCTGCCACTTTAAGCAGGCTGTCTACCATTGGATATGATGTGTGTGATCTCTGTGGGGCCAAATTTTCGGCCGTGAATGCACCTGGATGCATCGTGTGTGGAATGGGAAGCATCAAAAGGTCTGATGCTATTGCAGGACCAGTTTCTTCACCATTTGGCTGAGTCTCCAAAATGTGTTAACAGAACTTGCTTACCCCCTAATGAAGTTGTTGTAAAGAACTACATTCTAGAGAAATATACAAGGGAATGGGAATATAATTCTTGCACCAAAATCTGGAAAGATTATAGGGTTTCTCTGTTGTGTACTCTGAGATTGTGATGTTTCCTCGGCTTTTTTTCCTTCTCTCCCAATGATAAATTCTGTGATTACATGTTTCTTCTGATTCTGTAATTATGTTGTACATCTGCATAGATGGAAGTACAAACTTAGAGAGCAAGATTGTATATTTGTTAGGGGTTTATTTGAAAGACTTGTTGTGTTTTAAACAACCGAGCTTGAAAAAAGAGTAATTCTATGTGCATTATTTACTGCAGCAAATCCTGAGCTTGAAAAAAGAGTAATTCTATGTGCATTATTTACTGCAGCAAATCCTGATCCGTTTCTTTCAGTATGAATATACCACCACGTTGAGATAGTATAATAGAGAAACAACATTATTGCTTCCGTCTCAAAATAAAAGTCGTTTCAAGTTGTTACATATAGATTAATAAAAGTAATGATTGAGTCAATAAAGATAATATTTTTATAAAATTATGCTTAATTACTATTGATTTTTATTGTTGATGTTTGTAAATATATAGTGTTAAGAATATTTGTACGTAGAATAGTCTCATATTGATTATATCGTGTAATTAGTTGTAATCTCTCTATATAATAAAGTCTTCGTCGTGCTTTATCCGGTTGATCCACTGTCTTCCAGTGAGAAATTTTCTTCTACAAATCGTGTCATTATTCTGGTTTGTTTCATCTTTTTTTTTTTTTTAAAATTTTTTTTCCAACGACCTTCCTTGCCGCACTGTCCACAAGGGATTTTTTTTCGGGGACTACTGTTCACCGCCACTGCCACTGTTCATTGGCGCTGCCAATATTCATCGTCGACGCTATTGTTCACGAGAAAAAAATTTATTTTTTACTGGAAAACCGCATTCCTCCTCTGGTTCCAGATCTGCCATCAGTTTCCGTTTTTGAATCACAGAAAGTCGTACTTTTGTTCAAACAACCCCAGTTGTTGTGTTTTAAGCCATGGGAGATGCTGATTCTGTCTAATTTATTAAAGTTCTGCTTATTCCATGTGAAAAATTAACCGGATCAACCAACTATAACATATGGACTCGTGTTGTCGAGACGTGGTTTCACAGTCAAGGATATGAAGAGCATCTAACCACTCAATTGAGTGACGTTGCAGCCGTCAAACTCGCTAAATGGAAGAAAACTGATGTCTCTTTGTGTACTGTTGTGATGCGGTGGGAGAACTGACTTGAGGGTTTTGCGCTTGATCGCAAATGTTGCGGTTAGCAAGAGTCGCCATCGACTTTTCTTTTATCCAAAAGGAAAGGTGAAAAACCACAGGAAAGACCTTTGAGATTGTTTCTTGGGTTCGGGGGTAGATTATAAAAAGGGAAGGTATTAACACCCTTTTTATCCATGGTTTTCCATGGGCTCTTAGTTACTTGCTAGATCACTTGCTTTTGTTTGAAATTGTGCTTTGTGTGGTTTTTGAAAGTATTTTGTAAAGAGGCCATTGTTTAGGCAATCTTTGTAATGATTCTCGTTCGTAAGAATGTATATAAAGATGTTTGATCTTTTGAAAATGTTTTCAAGTTTTGTAAGATGTTTTGAAAGTGTATGTGATTGTTTTGAAAATAGCAAGGATGTTTGTTTTGAAATGGAGTAAGTAATTAGGAGCAAACTACCTACTCAAATGTCTTTCTTGTTCATTTTCTTTTTCTTTGACATTGTTGTCTTACCATTGATTTGGTAAGCAACTCTATCTTTGGATGTAAACGGGACGGGCGTGGATCATCGTATAGCCATGATTAGCAATGTTTGCAAGACATCTTAGCATTCTTTTTTAGGGACTAAGATCATTTTGTAAGGCAATTTTGAATAGCGTCATCGAGGGACTATGATCTTGTATTTGCTAAGATACCTTACATGCGTAATATGGCCATTTTGTAAGGCAACCAAGTGGGATAACCCTAGGGGTGCTTGTGTGTAAATGTGTTATTTTCATGCTTAATTTTGTCTTGAATTAAGGTTTTCTATTTGATTGGTTTTATCTTGCCATACAAACTCTAATTACTAGCATGTTATGTAAAAGCGATAAATTGCGAAATTTAAAGTTACTACGCTATTACAACATTTATGGGAGGGGGTATACAATTTATGAATGAGGATTGCAATAATATAAACCTAATTAATCTATTACAACCAAATTGAATATATACAAGAATTGGAATAAATAACATACAAGATGAATTAAATATGCAAAAATTGTAAAAGATAATAAAGATTTTTGTTTGATTTCTTAAGGAAAAGGGTTTTGATTTTAACCTAACTAGAGAAAAAAAGTAATTAAATTAAATTAACTTAAGTTAGTTAAGAAAAGAAATTAATTAAGAAATTTTTTTTATATGAAACCCTAAATCTATTTTTAGTTGATTAAAGGAAAATAAATTTTAAAGAAAAAAATTATTTTTATATTTTATATTTTTGTCTTAAAAATAGATTGTGGTATTATGAAATATTTTTGGTCTTTTCTACATTAAAATAAATATATTTAGATAAATAATAACCTAGCTTTATTTTAATATTTACAAGGAAATTAACAAAAGTAAATAAAGTATGGTGAATAAAATAATTTTTTTATGTGGAAAAATATTTAAATTATGTCAAAATATAAATCTATATTTTCATACTTTTTTATGATTTTTTTGATATTTTAGAAAATATATTTAAGAGAAAAAGGAAATAAATAAATAAATAAAAATAATATGGGCCAAGGTGGTGTCACAAGTAAACGGGGCGTATGCTAGTAAAAACAAAAAAAAAGAATGCCCTGAGGTCCCAGCGCATGCAAACAAAAATAAGAAATGTCAAAAAATATGAAAATAAGCAAAATGGTCACGCTGGCGCTTGAACCCAGGATCATATGGTGAACAGGCGCGCGCTTTACCATTGTGGTGGCTATACATCCGTTTATATAGGCAAAACCATAAATATATAAGGCAAATCCAGTTCTGATGACTTCATCTTCAACCTCCAGCCGGTGTACCTGTAACTTCTTCATTTCTTAACAAAAATGGAAAGTGACAACATGAAAGTTGTTGTATTCTTCCTCACGAATCTAACCATGTAAATAACTAAGGCTGAAAGTCAAAGATAAGTGAGAATTTCTCTGGCCCTAATTTAAACCTTAAAAATTTCAGAAACTTCAACTCTAAAATTCTCTAAGCTCAGGCCATATAAATGCAAACTATGGATATGTACAGCTTCGTGGCAATGGGATCTACATTTTATCTTCACAAATGCAAGCCTAACAATGCCTAAGTAATGAGATAGAAGTTCAAGAAAAATATCTCAAAACTGAAAATCATGAAATGCAAATGAGCGTGTTTCATTCAGTGCTGATGATCAGGTTAGGTTCCTTGGACCTCTAGGAAGCTAATGCAATGGCTGACTTGAGCTGAGGATGGCTGGAATGGCCTGGAGAAGTTCAACTGTGATGCTCTGTTTTTGGTTATGAAAGATAAGGGAAATGATGTTACAGAAATGAAACAGGTACAAGGATGAGTTGGTCTTGATGCAAAGAAACTTTAGAAACTAAAAGGCCAAGAAACGCACGAGGGAAATGTGAGTTTGGTATGAAAAGTCAGAATTTGCACAACAATGGTGTTTTGGAACAATTTCTGGCTAGAGGGAGTTTGAGTGAGTTTCAGGGGCTTCTTGCTCATGTGTCAACTTGCAAATAGTGTGTATACTTATAAGCAAGAGGTTTTGAGGCTTGTAACAACTCATAATTTGAATTTGCATCCTTAAGCCAAAGATGTGATTTTTGAGAATACAAGTTTCAATGCTTGTGTACTTGCTAAGATAGAGTAGTTCATGCTTTAAACAAGTTTGTTTCTGACTTTGTGGATGAAGTGTGATCAGAGGGAACAAGTTAGAGGCTCAAGAATGACTTTATGCAAAAAGCTTGCTTTACAAGAATGGAAGTGTTCACTTTGTGCCATTAATGGAAATGCAATTTGAATAATAGCTCATTTGCTTGGATCAAAGCCTTAACAACTGTGTAAGAATTTAATTAAGGAGTGACAAACAAGTTTGAGGCCTACAAAGCAAAGATTATGCAGCCTATCATGGATTTGCATTTGTGTTCATCATGAAAATGACCCAAATTCAAGTGATAAAACCCTAATTTCATCTCTTCGATTCTTCTTGCTCAAGAATGATCTCAAGGAGTTCTTGGATATTTTGGAAAGCTTGCAATGTTCTCTACAACTCATATTTGAATTGCTTTTGAAGATTCCCATTGGAACTATGTGTAAAATTGCCATAAAGTTAGGTCAAACATCTGCCTAACTAGGGCAAAATTTCACCAAGTCATTTTTAGTTCATGAGCATGTATTCACAAAATTATAACTTGAGATCCAAGCATTTTTAGGAGAAGTTGTGTGAAGAAAAGTTGTATATTTCATGGAGATATACAACTTTCATGTTGGAAGTTTCCTTTGAATCATCTTGCATCATGGTGAAAATTTGGCTCAAAGTTGTGAAAAAATAAGAAATTTTCTATACTTACAAAAATTTCTAAGTTAAGAAATTTCATCTTTTCAAAATAAAATCTTGAATTATTGATTTATTGATGAACAAGTTTCATATTTTGACATGTTTTTTTGAATTATGACCTTTGGCACTTGAATTTGACCAAAAAGTCAAAGTTTGACTTTTCAGTATACAGTTGACTTTTGATTAATTGACTGAAAGATTCATCTGTCAATCCAATAGACTTGTAGTGTTTTGAATCATGTAATTAGTTAAAAGTGATGCAATTGGACTCTTGAGATTATGCCTTAAACCAATTGATCATTTGCTAGGTCAAAAACCAGAAATTGCCCTTTCCCAATCAAAACCCTAATTTTGACCATTTGCCCTTTTGATG